TGGGTGAATACATCTCAACAATTGCAGTTTAGGCCATTTCTGCAGAGCCCATTTTTCTTTTTGTGCATAAAGTCTGCCTGACCAACTCTATCCACAGGTGGGCTGTACGTTCTGCAGCCGTTGCTGTTGCACAACCTCGTCGACCTGGACCAGATGACGGATGCGCTCGGCTTCACTCTGTTCGCCAACGGCATCGGCTTCTTCCTGGGCACTCCGTTGATGAGTTGTCTCTACGACTGGTCTCGCGATTACGCCTACTCCTACATGCTCTGCGGTCTGCTGGTGCTGGGCCGGGTCGTCATCGAGACCGGCTTGGTCGTGTCTGACTGGTGGGCGAATCGCCGTCTCAGGCGATTGCATCCGGGCCTGAGGGTGATGCCCGGCTTCGGGTCGAGGATGTCCGCCCAACTTCGACCGTCCACTTGGCGCTCCAGCCAGACGGCCTCCGTCGTCGGTTGCACTCGGAACGCCGGTGGAAGTATTGTAGGGTCGACGGGGGTCGTCAATTAGCCAGTCGCCAAGTCACAACTGGTCGCCTCGGGCAGCTATTCTTGCCTCTTGGCCTCAGAAACAACTGCGTCATGCTCGACTGCTGCCGGTCACGGACCGCTGACCTCGAATTGAAATTGCTCAGTTTCAACGCTTTTCAAGAATGACTCTTTTGGTATTCTTTCAAAAAGACATCATTTGTGTCAACTCACCAATATGACATGGTTTTGGCAACTTTGATAACGTCAGACTTTGAGTAAAAAATTGGTACGTTCTTTTGGGAGAATTCCGCTTCGCTACGTGAACCTTGAATCGGATGTGCATCTGCCTTGTTATGAGGACATTTTGATTTATCTCTCTTTGTGCTTTAGTGAAAATTTGCCTTATTTAACTTTGGAACATGTTTACAGACGACAGAATGCGACGCTGAGCATGTTAAGGATTGATGGTTAAAGTGATGATTCCGTTGAGAATAGGTTTTGCTTAATGACTTTTCGATACCGGCTTTTCATACTTTAACTCGGCATTTCCCACGGAATGCTAGCCGGAGTGTTTCATGGATCGAGGGAGCAAAATTGTTTGCTTGCGTCGCGTTGGTTCAGCATAAGGGGCCAACTGAAGCGATACTGAAACTGCAGTTCAAGCGGAAAGTGTAATTTTCTGTACCACTTCAGGGCTTCTCGTAGAATCGAACGACAACAGACCAATGAGAATCTGCTGTACATCATTCCTCTACAGTGTATTTTCAAGTAAAAATAAAGTCAGCTCAACCACATGAATGAACTCGTTTTGCCGTCACAGCACAAACGGCAAATGGGACACATTCTGTTTACACCTCAATCAGAGTTTTAAAGCAAAATGATCTAAAGTGTTGATTTTCATTCATTTTCACAACTTGGTCCTTCTCTCAAATAGATTTGGCGGGACACTTCTCGTACTGCATCATCAACTATTATTGTCAAATCTTCGTATTTTGCTCACATTCCCATAGGTCTAACAAGCCTCGCGGTCGGCATTGTCCGTGCGAATCGTCTGCGAATGTACTTGGTCAACGTATTATGCAACAGCCATGTTTTGGGAGAGTCGCGGTTCGAGAACACAACATTTTTGCATAAATACACTTCACGAAAACTGTAAATTAATCGAGCTTGGATTCGCTTTAGTAGCCACACTTGGCATGCGATTGGATGAACATCTTTTGATAGAAAATTTTTTTACAGCCTGGAAATGAGAGCGTTTGCATTTGATCTCTCACATTCATGTTTCGAGTCCCGTCAGGCGCTGATTGGACGGAGAGGGTGGACCAAGACTGTGTCAAAATGATGAAGAGGATGCCTTTTTTAGTGCATATCGTTTAGCAATATAAAGAGCTAATTAACAAATAAAACATGAAACTATTCTATAGAAGTGCCGTCAATGTGGTTTAGGTAAAGCTAAATGGATGTTTGGAATTGTGATGATTTGGGCTGAGGAACAGGTATTATGATTTTGTGTATGTGTGTGTGTTAGTAGTAAGATAAAGAAGACAATTATATAATGCACACTACTTAAGGGCGACTGGTGTGGGACCAAGGAACTATGAAAACGGTATTGACACAATAAGTGCAACCCAACAGGAGAAAGGTCGGAGGAAGTATTAGCAGTTTGGATCGTGTGTACCGAAGGGGTTCCTTGGCTTAAGAAAAGGTGGTTGTTATAGCGAATGTGAATTGAAGGATTACTGGAAATGGGCACCAAAAATGACAGTCTTAGGTTCTGCGATCTGGATGGAAGGTGTAGATGAAACTGACAGAGCAGCGGAAGGAAGAGGTGTAGTTGAACAGAAGCAAGTGGATCAAACTGCCACAGGTCATTTCGCATCGACGCAACTTAACGTCGCTGCAGAATGAAGGTGTTGCGTGTCGCGGCTTTGAGCATGAATACTTGCCAAAAATGTGGAAAGAATAGATTGTTTGTGACGAAGTTCTTGACATTTAACAGCTGGCTGGCCAATATTTCAGGTGAAAGTGTGTGACAGACCTTTTCAGAGCTGAACCCCAGTTGAATGTAAATTGAAAAAAACGAATCGGATCCAGAAAAGTTACTTTCAATAGTAGTGATGAACCATTTACTTTCTTCAACTTGGTGTTGGTTTGCTAATGTGTGTAAGAAGCGTGATTGTATTTCGATGAATCTTTAGAGTTCCCATTTCAGTTGTGTGTGCTGGAAGAATTGTCTGGCTCGTTCCCACCACAAGACTATGAATGATTACTGCCTCCTTTGGTTCGGATGAATGGAGAAGGTCTGATCAACTCGACGAGATTTCAATTCTGGATTGTGTGCCTCTGCTCGAATCCTTAAATCTTGATAATCCTGAACTGAAATTAATCTCTGTTGTGATTACTCAATGTTAGGACTAGTGGCTTCCTACTCTGACTTACGTGTGTATACAACTGTGTATAAAACACATATACACATAAAAGGTCTCGATACTACACTTTAATGCGGTTTTTATGTCAAATCATTTTACAATGTTTAACCATTGCATGTAAGGTTGAGCATGTTGGCTTGCTCGACCCGTTGGAGACTCGTTTGCAAATGTATGTATGTATGTATGTATGTATGTATGTATGTATGTATGTATGTATGTATGTATGTATGTATG